CTGTCTGTCTGTCATCTCCTAAAAGGGTCTGCATTTTAATTAATTAATTAATTAATTTATAATTATTTATATGTTTACTTATTTATTTATTTATCTTATTTATTTATTTATTTATTTATTTATTTATTTATTTATTTATTTATTTATGATAGTGATCAGCATACTGCTGGGGGTGTTATGATCAATCTCGCCGTCAACTCTGTCGCTAGACCACTCGACTGCTTTTCAAGTTTTGAAAACCTTAGTGGCAAAGGAAGAGATACCTGTAGGTGCGCGCGCGCGTGTGTGAGTGTGTGTGTGTGTGTGTGTGTGTGTGTGTGTGTGTGTGTGTGTGTGTGTGTGTGTGACAGTGCGTGTGTTGTGTGTGCGTCGCTCTGCAGGCGACAAGTCACGTATTTTCCTTTTTCAACATTCTTTCCTTTTTTTTTTACACCACTAGACCGGTAAGTCATTCTGATTGCCGATTTGGTTAATGGTCTCCAGCAGTCAGTTAGGGAGAAGGAACCGATCAAACTGGCAGGCGTCTTGGCCATCCCCAGAGACATTATTAACACAGAATCTGAAAGTTGCACGAAAACGAAAGCCGGTCGACAGCTTGGCAGGCATGAAAAAATTGATACCTATTTTTCCCTATATATCATTATTGTTTCGCGGTGTTATGACTGGGTATAATATAATATAGAGGATGAATATCCAGTGAAGATTTGTATAGTTTAAGTTTTAGCTAATTAACCAATAGCAGATGACTTTTTAAATCAAGAGCAGAAGAATTCGGAGCTCGTGCCTCCATAGCCGCTGTGCTTACTTTCAATGTGGTCACCGGTCAGACGATTTCTCCCCATATCTCTGGGTTTGTGTTTTCATTTTGTGGCATGCAGTATAAAGGCTCAATATTGTTCTCATTCTTAATTTTATGGTACAATAAGATAAATTTGAGCGTACGCACTGGATGTTTCATTTTATTTTTTAAAAAATTTTCGAAAGTGTCCATTTTTTAAAGAATGGGCCCCGTTTGCCTTGTGTTTAAAAACATTACAGGTATATCTAAGATTCTGACCAAATGCATTTTTTCCCATCTTACTCTGCTCTTGTCTCCAGAAAAAAGTAACAATTTACAATCTTGATTCATCTAAGAAAAACCGTCTCAAATTACATTAATTGCTCATTAATTTCGCACATGTGTGTTTACTTGCGCAAGTGCTCAAAAACCCGAGCGAAAAATATTAACTTCCCAACTTCCCAGCACACACGAGAGAGAGAGAGAGAGAGAGAGAGA